TTAATTATGTTAAAGACTTTTATGCCCCTATATCAAAAAATGTATTTTTTTTATTGTAATCAGACCATTTTGATAATTTGCTACCACTTTAAATAACGTATGTATACATGTATATATATATATAGAGAGAGAGGTTGGTTCAAATAGAAACCAACCATATGGTGCAAACTAAGCTAACCAACCTTAACCAATCACATTCTGTCTTCACTTTAGGTTCAAATCTAAATTATAAATTAATGATAAGGATAATTTTGTAATTTAACCTTTTTGTAACCCCCTAATAATTAATTGGGAGTTACAAATCTTAAAAGATACCTCTAATTGATCATGAGATTTTTCTGATTTCTTTATTATTTCATGTTCATGTTCTTCTTTTCAAGTTATGTTCTACATATATTGAAATTGGTTGTCTAAGTGTACACGATTTTCGTTTCATCCAAGATACATGGAGAATCCTATTGTAAAAAAATATCAGAATAATGAAAACGATAAACGCTTGCAGTCTATGTTCATATTTGCACACATGCACAATGATTCTTGATTTTGAAAATGTTCATATATGTGCATCTCTTGCAGTCTATGTTCATATATGTTCACCATATGAACAACTTGTTTTCATTGAAAGACACAATCGTTGTTCACACGAACCCGTGACGATGTCATACGATATGACATTGAAAAACATCACACCATATGAACATAGTGTTTACATTGTAAGACACATATGCTGTTCACACGAACATAGGGCCGACATGTGAACATATATGAACATATGAACATAGTGTTTACATTGTAAGACACAGATGCTGTTCACACGAACATAGGGCCGACATGTGAACATATATGAACATATGAACATAGTGTTTACATTGTAAGACACAGATGCTATTCACACGAGCATAAGGCCGACATGTGAACATGAGTTGTGAATATGTTCATAATCGATCGTAGGTTACAAATCGGCTGGAGAATATCGGGTTCACGATGCGTGAGGATTTATTACCAAAATACCCTGTGAACAATTGTTCATAAGCAGCCCAATTAATTTAATGATTAGTTGATTATTTTTAATACTCATTTAATAATGACCGTTTGACCAATTTACCCTTTGAACAATTGTTCATACACATATCAATTAATACATTAATTAAATTATTGTTTATTTAATCTCATTTAATAATAACCGTTTGATGATAAAATGAACGATCAAGATCGGTTCACATAGTTTGTACCATATGGTTGGTTTCTATTTGAACCAGCCCCTATACATACATACATATATATATATATATATATGTTTTGGTTGCTAACCGCGATATGTATTATATGTACACATGTGCACGTGTTATAAGTATATATACCCGTCGACCCGTGTTATATACATATGTTTACACGATGTTGTATGTGTTATATGTATATATACCCATCTGCCCGTGTTATATACATATATATACACGACGTTATAGATGTGTGCTGGTTGCTAACCACAATTGGATCGATGTATATATACATGTCGGTTCGGTTTTATTAGGTTTTGTTTGGTTTAATGGGTCTTAATGGACTTTATTTGCTTTTATTGGTCCTTAATCCAACTTCTTAGAATTTATTTGGTTTTATTGGGTCTTAATCCAATTTCTTGGACTTTATTCAGTTTTATTGGCCCTAATGGGCTTTATTCAGTTTTATTGGAACTTAACCTATTTTATTGAGTTTTGTTCGGTTTTATTGGGCCTTAAACCATTTATCAGGCTTTATTGAGTTTATCTGGCCTTAATGGGCTTTATTCGATTTTATTGGGCCTTAATGGGCTTTATTCGGTTTTATTGAGTCTTAATCTATTTTATTGGATGTTATTCGGTTTTATTGGGCTTTGTCAAGTTTTATTGGGCCTCAATGGCGTTATACAGTTTTATTGGGCGTAATGGGCTTTATTCGGTATTATTGGGACTCAATGGGTTTTAAAGAGCTTTATTCGTTTTTATTGGGCCTTAATCTATTTATTAATTATTAATTAATTTTTATAATTTACTAAAAAATAATAAATATTTCATAATTAATAACTAATTAAATTTATAGTTATTAATTAAAAAAAGTATTTTAATCAATTAATTAATATTAAAATAATTTTAACCTTTTAGCAAGGGAATTTCCTTCGGAAATCCGTTACTGATTGTCTAGATATAAGGCTAGGTCAAGCCGCCATTCCGACTTTATTCACGCCTCCTCCAAAAGAGAAACAGTCAGCAACTCCTCCCCCCACCCATTTATGCGATTTTTGACCGGCAACCTCCTCCCACGCTCCCCCCCACCCATCGACATCCTCCCACCACCGACAACCTCCCCCACTCCGGCAAGCTCTTTCACCCGACGATTTTTCTCCATTTTTGAAGGTATACCTTTCTTCACCCTTTTTCGTCTTTTAAATGTATGTACATACACGTATATGTTTGGATTTTGATATGTGTTTATAAATTACTGTATTTATATGTATGTGTATGTATGCAAGTTTTTTATATGTATGTGTGTAACATTTGTTTGTTAAATTATTGTTCTTGGGTAAATTGTTGGGTAAAGTTATATAAATATATGTAAGCTTTGTATAAACTTACATATATGTTGAAATTGTTTTGCGTAAATTGTTGGGTAAAGATATTTGTATGCAAGTTTTGTATATATGTCCGTTTTAGAGTTTAGTAAGGATTCAAACTTTCTAAAGCATCCATTGCACACACACTTGCTAAACTCGCAAAGTTGCTGCTTGTATTTTCAAATCTAATGGTTTTATATTTTGTGTTAGAAATGGGTTGCCAATTGTCGAGCAAACGTTAGGGCTTGTATTTTCAAATTTAATTGTTGTATATTTCGTGTTAAATTTTACATATTCATTGGTTTTGTTTATTGTTATTACTAGAAATTTATACTTTGTTAATTAGTTGGGTTGCCAATTGTTGGACAAACATTAGGCTTGATTATATATATTTGTAATTGAGTTGTCAATTGTTGGCAAACGTTAGACTTGATTGTATTCATTTGTAGTTGAGTTGTCAACTGGGTTCGGCAAAAATTTGGAAATATTCATTTTATAGCTGTTATGCCGTCAAATGTTTTAAAAACATAGGCTTCTCAACTCGTTCAAACCTTTACATTTAGAGTTTTAAAGTCATCCAAAACTCCTTTAAACCTACGTTTTGACTTTCTAGTAGTCAAAACTTTACATGCAGGCTTTCTCAACTCGTTCAAAAGACTTTCAACTTCATTCACACCTACGGTTTGACTTTCAAGTAGTCAAACCATTACACTTAGAGTTTTAAAGTCATCCAAAACTCCTCTAAACCTACATGTTGACTTTCTAGTAGTCAAAACACTACATGTATGCTTTCTCAACTCGTTCAAAAGACCTTCAAATTCATTCACACCTACGGTTTGACTTTCAAGTAGTCAAACCGTTACATTTATAGTTTTAAAGTTATCTGAAACTTCTCTAAACCTACAGTTTGACTTTCTAGGAGTCAAAACTTTACATGTAGGCTTCTTAACTCATTCAAAATACCTTCAACTTCATTCACACCTACGATTTGAAGACAACGAGGATGAACCAAAATTTGAAGACATAGATGATGATTCAAATGATGAAGATAAACCGATGTTATTTGATCATTCTTTTGATGAGTATCTTGTCTTTTGTATGCTTATTTCACTATTGTACATATAATCACAATTTGTCATTATATTTTTTCATTATAGAATCTAATGTTTGTTTTTCGAGGAGATGTCACGCTGAGAGCACGGTAGAGGCCTTCATGGTAGTCTCCGTATCCCTATGTTTTGTTGGGGCAACAACTCTGTTGGCGGGCGTGGCGAACTGAGCACCGATGACATTGTTGAGTTCCTGGAGACCGTCTTCCGAGATTTAGATGAACAAGATGTGGCCATGGAGGTCCCAGCTTCGACAGGTTCAGGGTCGGAGAGAGGCCCCAACAATGAGATGCCGACACCCTGTCATCTGAGCCAACTAAGACATATTTCTTTGTTAGGCAACGGGTTAGTAAATGTGGTATAAGACTTTGTATTACATAATAAAATGATATGAATGTCTTTTGTGTTGTAAATATTTTTTAATTGTACAGGTTTAAAGATGGCCATGTTATCCGGGAGATGACGACTATATTTAGGTTTTCCTTCGCTGATTCGTGGCATAGATGGAAGGAAGTCCCTCAGGAAGCTTGCAACTTGATGTTCCAGCGTTTTAGGCGGTGTACCATTTTAATGTTATTATACATATAAGTTTATTGTTTTTACATTTATACAAATATTGTGTATGTAGAATAAGTTCCAGTGGGAACTAGAGTTGGATGACATGGTTCATGATTTATCGACCAAAGTCATGCACAATAAGTACTCAGATTGGATGAGTGCTGCACATGACTAGGCCGTGGCACAGGCCTATCCCTGTGCTCAACAATGAGATGGTGAGAACTCCTCACGTATTAGATTACACCGTCCTGTATGGATCCCAGAGAGGTTTTGGCTTCAGATGATTGACGAGATATGTATCTCTATTGTGAGCTTTTTGAACTGCCATGTCTTTTATAACGCCTTATATATGTGCTCTGTTTTTAACAGGTTTGGGATACCGAGCCTTGGAAAAGGAAATCTAGGATCAATAGGTCTAATCCGAACACACAGTTTGAGGGGGTGTCGTCTACACACACCGGGGGATCGATCAGTACTCAACAACATCGAGATAGGATGGTGAGTATCTAATCTTTTTTGAATATGTAATTCTTTCTCTATGTTTACTAACAACTTAACCTAATTGTATAATGTAGGAAAAACTAATGGGTCGTGAGCTGACTGCTACTGAGGTGTTTGAGGGCACTCGCTACATGAACTAAAAGTTCGATCAAGGTTCATCCGACCTGCCTACCGATCCTCCTCAGTTTAGTTACCTCAAAGCTGCTAGGTATCTTGTAAGTTTTCTAAAACCATTACTTCCGTTAATGGATACGTTTGGTAAGTTTAAGGTAATATATTTTAATAAACATGATGATGCTTTTAGTTTGGCCTATCATTGTTGGGTAAACGTTAGGCTAAGTAGATAGGTTGAGAATGTGACTACCATTGGTATTATTAGAATGCTTCAATTGTTAAAAACATACGTTGGATATGTTTGATTTATAACTGTTATGCTGCTAAAATTTCTACATATATGTTACGAGAATTAAAGTATATCTCTTGGACTATTAGCAAATGGAGATTAGTGCAAGTATATACTTATCAATCCACTATCGTCTTTTACAAGTAATAAAGTAGTAAAAATACCGAATATCGTCCATGGGAAAAAGAAATAAAAGTTCATTTAAAAGTCTAAATAAAGATATGAGTTCAGATGGTGAGTTCGAAGAAATATTGGTGGTGAGTTGGTTAAATACTACTATTGTGAACAAGTAATAAAAGAGAGCTTAGGGTGTAGGGATTTGTTAAAATATCAAACCGATTTTTTAAGTAGATATAGCATGCTTTATAAATAACTTGTCCTTACAACTAATTGCTTCTTTAAGGTATTCTCTCGAGATGTAGAATAACACACAGTCATAGATTAAGCCTTCATATCTCTATGCAAGGCTAGAGTCTCGATATTGGCTCAAACTATTCCTTATATAAGCAAAATGGAGTGAAAACGATTCTAAGTAGCTCTCTCGAGCCTACTTCCATATCATTTAAGTTGACGTGTGCTTGTTGATTTATCTCTAAATCCAACACACTTTAACAGTTTTAAACAAGTGATAAACTTGTACATGGATTATGTTTTTACAATATAAACTTGATTGACGTAGTTGAAAAGATTTATTATTTAATTTTCTACAAACGTGATCAATATTTCTCTTAACATTACCCAACACTCAAGCTATATTTTAGCCTACCATACTTGAAATAATAAAATTAATTGCATAAATAATAAAACATATTAATAGGAAATAAAACATAAGAAAAGAAAAGAAAATAGAATAAATAAATGCTAAGAAGATTTATAAAGGAGACTTCTAGAATGTAAGGAGAATTTAAAGATACTTGCAACCTATATTTTCATACCAAGTTAACTTCGAAATTGCATCTAAAATTGCTTACTTCAAAATGCCAAGCATCCCTCCTTTATATAGTAGAAGAAGGGAGGACAAGGACCAAAAAATAAAACTATTATCCAACTATTTACGATGTCCAAAAGGTAAAGCATTGTTTATCCAAAGGATAGTCACCGAGAATATCTTCAACATGTACCATGAGATCTTCAAATCTGCAGGAGATGGGCTATCAAAAAAAGGATTAGATATCAAAATATCTTCTGTACTATTATAAAAAACGCTCCTGGAATCGCCCCATGCTTCAGCCAAAAGACCTATTAACATGGTTTTTTTCCCCCAAATATCAACACAAAGAAGTTAACATGTTTATCACATCAATTTAGCTCCAATATAAAAAAGATGCAAAAATAAAACAAAAAGACTCAATTTGTGGAATTTTGGGAAACTAAAACGGATAAATAAAGTAAAAGAAATGTAAAAGCATCAAATAAGTTGATGCTTATCAATATATAACCTCACTCGTTTTTGTTTCGGTGAACTATATGAGCGATTTCAATCTCTTAGGGGTAATTCACAGTCTAATACCGACAGCCCTGCCCCTGATGAGGCATCTATTTGGGAGCAGAATGTTGGAGGACGGAGGAAGAGCCACATATTTGGTTTCAGGACCTCCTAGGATCTCTGTTATGCTATGACGAGTAGATGAAGCAGTAGCACCGGGAGATCATACGAATCAACAACGGAGGTATGTTGGTTATATTGTTATCTACTTTCTTATTACTTTCATTGTGAACAAATTACTGATTTTGTCGAATATTGAATATTTACAGGTAGCAAAGTTTAGAGAGAAGTTGGCAAGGGTAGAGGACGAGGCACGGGTGCGGGAGGAACGCCATGTTGCCGATATGGAGGACAAATGGAAGAAGATGGCAAATTTGGAGGCCGAACATGCCAGACAAGCTGCTGCATTAGCCGAACAAGACGCCTTATCAGAGCATTTTGCTGCGTTTATACGGTAGTCAGGATACGTTTTCCACCCTCCCCCACCTCCCGGTAGTTAGATTGTATGAATTTGAACATTAAATTGTATGAATTGGATATTATAAATCATATGAATTGGTTAGTTAATTTATTCACAATTTTGGTAAGTTATATTATGGCCAGGTTTTGTATCAAAAAATACAGTAATTATGTAATTATAAAAAAAATATTTTTAGATTAACAAACATTAGCGACGAATTAGCGAGGGAAAATCCATCGCTGAAAGTCCCTCCCCGTCCCTTGCAGATCCGTTGGTGAAAGTTCCCTCGCTGATCCGTCGCTGAAAGTTCCCTCGCTGAAAGTTCCTTTGCTGAAAGTTCTTTCACTGATCCGTTGCTGAAAATTCCGTCGCTGATTCGTCGCTGAATCTGTTTCCTCATTAGTTGATTATGAAATCATGTATTTTTGCAAATATATTTTTGCAAATGTATTTTTGCAAGTAGTAGTTGTTTGATGTAAGTTATACTTTGCACATCGTATTTGTTAACATTTATATTGATTATTTAGGGAAAAAAAACACTAAACAACTGTGATAACTGGTTCTGGTTATCACTTGAGGTAATTAATACGTGCTTATTTGTTAACTGTTTATGTGACAACATGATAAATTGTTATACTTGATTATGTTGGTATGAGAAATTATATGCATGAGAATGCATGTATGAATATATAAATATATAAAGGTGTACACATCCATGAATAATAGTGGTGAAGGTTGCATAAGTATGCATGATTATATCATGTATGCATGTTATATATGCATGGATTTGGATATATATATATATATATATATATATGTACATGAACATACATGCATGAGAGGAGCGCGGCTTAACCACCATAGTTATTTTGGAAAGTATAAAAGGAGGGGTTAAACCTCCTTTGCACTCGCTTAAAACTTGAAGGAGATTTGAGAGAGAGCTTGTCCAGATTATTTGCTTTAAATTGGAATTGAAGTTGGCTTTCAAGAGGTTGATTTTCAAAAGGAAATTCAAGGTGAGTGATTTAAATGTTTTAATTCCTTTGAAATGCCTAAAATTGTTGTTTAAACTTTTCACCCGGTTTAAAGATTAAACCGTATGAATATTATCCGGATTATGAGTAAACCGGTCAAGTAGTAAGCGATTTAAATATAAACCGGACGGTAAGCGATTAAAGGCTAAATCGCTTGGTGTAATCAACCGGTTTAGTTTTAAACCGGACGAGGGTTGAGCGGATTAGACTTAAACCGGACATGTCTTAAATGGTTTAAAAATAAATCGATCAAGTTGTGTTATCCGGTTTAAGTAATGAGCAATTTATGAACTTTGATTTATGTTAAATACTTAAATCGGAGAAGTAGGAATACGATTATGTGATGACCGATTTATTTTAAATGAACATGTTATCCGGATTGTTAAATCGGATAAAGCATGAATAAATCCGGACAAAATGTTGAGAATTATTCCAAGTGTTAAATCGGACATAATGTAAAGAATTGTCCGGATTTGTAATCCAACCAAAGTCTTGACCGGATTATGTGTTGTCTACCAATTTTGTTTCATTTAACAAGAAATGAGAATTTTGATAAATATGATTTTGAACTGATAATATTCTATTGACTGTGGTCTATTCTACATGGAATTATTTTATGAAATGTTTTGATGGGGAAATAAGGGTGGCATATCAAGGAGAGGTGTATATTGGGATAAGGGTGGCATATCAAGGAGATGTGTACCATGAGATAAGGGTGTCATATCAAGGAGAGGTGTATATTTGGATATAAGGGTGGCATTTGTATGTGTTTTATGTGATATAACTCTTACCATTATATCCTTTAAGATTACCGTGGTCTGGTATCTTTATTTTTTTGTGATTTAAAAGTTTAGAATCAGGGTTCTTATTGGAAATCATGTCTAAATGTTATTGAGAAGAAAGTAACAGGTTTGGCCTGAAACTTTGAATAAACCTTATTTAATTTAAAAGGTTTAAAAGTGGCACTATGATATACCTAGTTAGTACAAACTTATTTAGATTTGATGTGTTGTTGCAAGCAGAGAATTTGGCTTGAAAAGTGAAATGTATTGGTATTATGTTCTTGCTTGTCCATATATTTGTTATATATATGAAAAGTTGTTTTACATAAAAGTTTTGGTGATTTTCACCCTGCAATAACATAAATAGGGTAACTCACTAGACCTTTCGGTCTAACCCTCGTTTTGTGATTTTTAAACATATATTGTAGGAAGTGCTGACGGTAAGGGAAAGGGAAAATGTGATAAATTCCCTACGTGTTTATCTGCATGAAGAATGGCTGATAATATGTATAGGTTTTGGTAGATGAATCTTGATTAGTACAAGAATTGTATTTTAAATTTTTGGACCATGTATTCTGTAATGGTAGATTCTTGTACTAAGAGACCTATGTGGTGTACAAACATGTATTTCTTATGTATGAAGTATGTGTTATATGCAATGTATGGAATGTGGTGTTACAACAGCTCACTAAAGGCTGAACAGCTGTCCTGTTATGTCCTACCATGTCCTGTCATGTCTGTGTACCAAACGCACCCTCACTGATCCGTCGCTGAAAGTAACCGTCTCAAATCTGTCGCTGATTTATGTCGTTGGTCCATCGGTGACAACATTACCTATGAGCTTTTGACCGACGGACTATCAGCGACGGATCAGCGACGAAATACCCTTTTAGCGACGGATTTGCGAGAGAATATTCCCTCGCTGATACTCTTCATTTTTATAGTGTTTGGTACACAAAGCCCACACAAAACAGTTCTAAAAACCCATAACAGTTCACCATTTTTAAAGTGAAATTAAAGCAATTTTAAGGCTATAACATGCGAAAAAGTTTTGAAATTAAACTGTGATCTATAAACAAAAAAGTATATATTACCAAAAAAGAAGGCGTAGAAAGTTGCAGGTGATCATTTGGACTCATCTAGGTCGAGAAACCTACGGTTATCACTATTAATGTGATCGCTGCAATCTGAGTCTAGAAACCACATTGATTGTGTGGGTTCTTCAAAATCTGTTTGAGACATCAGTAACATTTCTTCCTCCGAATTTACTTCGGCATAGTGACCTCCTCTTTCACAACTAGAACATTCATATTGGAAGTGTCCTAGATTATGACATTTGTAGCATTCCACAATTGCTTTGTTGAACCTTATCTGCCTCTACCTCTACCTCTTCCATGACCTCAACAACAGTTCGACCAACTCATCCTATTCCACCATCGTATGAGACATTCAAGGCTTGTTCTTCGCTTCTAACATGGATGTTCATTCTTTGTTCATGAACTAACATGCTCATTTGAAGCTTACCTATGTTGAGCTCGCCTAAATCATTAGAATCCTCTACTACATAGTCAAATCTGGAAGTCATTGATCTTAAAATTTTTTCAATGATCATGACCTGTTTCACCTTCTCATCATGAGCCTTCATCTTATTTGCAATATTTAATTCCCGAGCAAAGTACTCATTCACCTTCTTCCCTTCCTTCATTTGTAACACTTCAAACCTCATCTCAAGGCTTGCAATTGAGCCCTTTTAACCATGTTGATCCCTGATATTTAATTTTGTTTCATAGAATCCCATATGTTCTTAACACTAGCTTTATCAAGGACAATCTCTAAAATATTACGATCAGTAGCCCGGAATAGGTAGTTCTTCACCTTTAGATCTTTGAGTTGAAGTTGATTTTGTTCGTTGATGGCATCTGCTCCGTCATTAATAGGAGGAACTCCAATTTGTAGCAAGTCCGAATACACTTTAGGAGGAAGAAGGTTCTCCATATGTATTGTCTAATGGTCATAGTGACTATCAAACCGATGAATAACTGCTCAGACATATTTGTCCATGGCCATCTCGAACTTCCCTGTTCCCATCTCATTAATCTTCTACATGCCTTGCTTTTGAATTTCATCAAGTGTTTCAATCTTCTACTATATCAGGAATTGTAATTCCTAAAAACTAAATCAGGTCCCAATATGGTGTTCTCATACCTAATAGCCCTTATAAGCTGAAAAGCAGAGGATGAAAGACACAAGGTGTTAGAATTGAAAATCAGTGTTAAATTGTATTCGTCTTGAAAGTTAATTTTGTCTATAATTGCGTAAAAGTCACCGTGTTTGACTTTTTATAGACAGTTTGACTTTGATTTTGTCTTTATCTTTGACCCTATATAAAGAGTAATTCCTTTGTATTTTAAGAAGGATTCTCAATTGTAAATATCAGATTACGTAATATCAGTTTGACCATTCTTGAAGAGTTGACTTTCTCTCTCTACTTGTTCTTCATGTTCTTGAACATTTTATGAAGTCTGCCATTGATGATTAGTTGAAGATTGATATTAAAGGGACTAATACAAGGTTAAAAGGCAGAAGCTACAAAAAGTATTAAAACCTTATGACTAATAGACCGAACAAAACCTGGATGAAAAGAAGATAAAAAAACGGTGAGAGAAAAAGAGAGAGAGAGAGAGAGAGAGAGAGAGCGAAAGGAGGAAAGAAAGGAAAAAACTTGGAGGAACATTAACTTTGACGAGTTGTGCGTGAAACAGGTTGGGAATGGTTTATAGACGACTTCCTTGACTAATCGATGGAAAGATCCCTCTCATTTTCCATCTCCATTTCTAGACTTTTTGCTCTAGAAAACGAGAAACATGTGACCATGGCGAACATGATCGAGTACAAAAATACCTGGGACTAGCGCAGACCCATTCGTGATGGTCCGTGAAGCTGAGGAGTTCGAACAACTAAAGGTAGATATTAAAGATTGCTCTATAACCGATAAACCAGACAACTGGAGTTGGGACTGGTGCATACCCACCCGTGACAACCTCATAAAGGTAAAATATAGATCTCGATTCTATTTTATGTCCGGTTAGCGATTCTGAAACCGAGGAGTGCACTGTGATGTCGGAGGTATGGAGATTCATTGAAAGATGGTCAGTCTTTACCAAAGGAGAGATTCATGATTTCGATGATCAACATATTCAACTTAACTAGCAAGGATGGCAAAGTCAAGAAAGCTTTGGAAGTAATTTTTCTCATCAATTGCTACAATCTAAGAAACAGTATAACATGGAGATATCAGATTGTAGAGATATCGTTTATTTGAATTTTGGCTAGGTGTAAAGGGAGTGTTACAAACCCTATAACATGGAGAAATCATTCAATCGATTGAGTCAGGAATCCGTAATGTAATTGTTCCTCGTTTGCTAGTTTCTTAGTAGCCCGTAACAAAGTTCTCATTACTGCTTAAAAAACCCTAAGGCTAAGATTGATCATTAACTTTCTTTTTTACAAAAAATATATAGGGAAATCTTTAATTAATATCGAGCCCATTAATTTGAAAACTAACCCATTATTAAGTATTAACTACCCAAATCAAAATTTGCTTTTATAAGTGAATATATTATTTTTATTTTAATCCACTTTCTAGAAATGAAATAAGAAGAGGCATCAACAAAAAAGCATCTTCATGTCTTCATCATCAAATAAGTCGATCAAGTCAAATGCCATAGAATTAATTTTATTCTAACCAAATATTCTTTATAAGGAAATTTACCAAATATTCTTTAATGAGATGGAAGTGTAATGATGCACTATTTCTAGCAAATAAAGATTAGTATTAAAATTAACAATAAATTATAGTTAATGATAACATGATCATGGTAATTATATGCCAATATAAATAGGAGCATAAGCTAGTGTAATTGTCCACAAGATCCCATTATTCATCCAAATTGGCCTTTATTCTTGAAAACCCTACTATAATGTTCGTTTTTCTAACTCTAGTTTCATCTCTCTTCATAAGTCATTCTTCATGTTTAAGCCCTAAAATCCTTGCTAATACTCATGGCGGAGATGGGTTTTTGCCTGCTTTAGGAACATGGTATGGTGATCCAAGAGGCGCTGGAAGTGGTGATTACATATACATCTCAGTAGTAGTAATTATATATATATATATATATATATATATATATGATTATTAATTACTCAAGGGATCTTTTAATTATTTTCTCGTGATATATATTCCTGATTTTCTTTGAATGATTATGTACAGGAGGAGCTTGTGGTTGGGCTGATGATGTTAAGTCACCTCCATTCTCAGCCATGATAGCAGCTGGAAATGCTAAGATTTATTTGCATGGTAAAGGATGTGGTGATTGTTATCAGGTGTTAAAACTAATTCTTTGTAATTAAAAAAACTAATTAATTTTGTTGTATATATGTAATTAATGATTTTAATTAGATCATTGATGAGTTGGGGTTTTTCAGATTAAATGTAATCGAAGGCCATATTGTTCTGGAAATCCTATTACTGTGACGATAACCGACGAATGCCCAGGGGCATGTAACGATGTCCCATTCCATTTTGACCTAAGCGGAACTGCTTTTGGTGTGATGTCAAGTCCGGGCCAAGCTGATAATCTTCGTAACCTTGGCCAAGTCGATATTCAATATCGAAGGTTAGTATATAATGTAGTTCGATGGAGAAACCACTACAACAAAATTGTGTTTATAAGATCCTAGGTATGCTAATAGGATATTTAGGAGGTGTTTACCAAACGCTTACCCGAGTAAGTACTTACCGACAAGATTTAACACTATCACTTACTTACCGGGTAAGATTTTTGTCCACCAAAAATCGTATGTAACAATTTACCAGGTAAGCGCTAACAGTGGTAAGAGTCGTGCCCTCACTTACCGGATTAGATTCTCGGTCCTTGCTTCGCTCTTACATGGAAAGATTCTCGGTCCTTACCATATACATCCGGTAAGTAATGTGACTTGGTAAGCGCTTACCTGAGTAAGCGTTTGGTAAATGGCATTTTAATAAGATTTTAATCTTATAGAACCAATATACGTCTTAACACAACTTACCTCTGTTCTTAATCCTATAAATTTATAGTTTGACAAGTATTCTATTAGGATGACCATGCATGGTTGGACATTCTAATAAACCTCATCGTTAATCTATTATATATAGTGCACTGCTAATACTTTTTAAAAACCTGTCTTGTATATTATTAATATTTTGTTATTGCTACTGGTATTAAAGATTTAAACTCCTAAAGTGTCGTTAATGAGACAAATAAACATGTATGGTCAGGGTTCCATGCAACTACGGTAACACAAAGATTGCGTTCAAGATAGTTGCAAAGACAAACCCTTATTGGTTCGCGACTGCAATAGAATTTGTAGATGGAGTTGGTGAAGTTAAGGTTGTGAAGATAGCACAAGCGGGTTCAAAAACGTTTGTTCCAATGTATAATAGTTGGGGTGCGGTTTGGGCGGCCAACATCAACCCACCTTTCCCTGGTCCATACTCATTTCTGCTCACGTCTCCAACGAATAAAACAATTATGGCTTACCAAGTGGTTCCATCAAATTTTGTTCCCGGACAAACTTACTACTCGCATGTAAACTTTTACTGATAAATTGGTATCTTTATAGTAGTCTTCCAGAATATTGAAACCCTAATTTTGTAATATATGAATCAAGATTTTAATAATGGATGAAGTACTTTTTTAGGAAGATTTGGAAAATTATGATCAAGGGAAAAATTGTTTGTCGTGTGGCACTAACACATTCAGAGCTAATTTATTGAAAAAAGTTCAATTGATAATTAGATTGAAATTTATCGCGTCTAGGTTAATCAGATAGTATTTGTACACGAGTTCAAATAAATCATAAATAAAGACAACATATATTTAAATTCATGTCAACAATATTTTGTAAGAAACCGCTGTAGCATTATGGCTATCTCAATGGTTAGAAGTAGTCAAATCGGTATTGCGTAGGAAGAAACATTTGGAATTGTTGCTATCTCCATGATCACGGGGAAGCAATAACATCTCTATTCAAGATGGAAGAATAAAAGTTAAAATCTTTAAGGATTTCTTTCTTTTCAAGATTACGACATTAATTATATCTATACTATATTATAAAGCATTTGATAAAAGCTTTTAAAAACCATTTTTTTAATGCACGAAGTACTGTTTATTGATACATATTACTTAAAAATCAAGATTACATGTAAATTGTACATAGGTACAACTTATTAAAGCTCTATGTTTGAATTCGTGTAACTAGCTGCGGATAAACATAATCAAATAGAGGATAAACATTTCATTTTAAAATATAAAAAATCTAAAATATAATTAGGATAATTATCGTGTTCTAACAAAATAATTAACTATTATTTTTATAAGAAAAAATTATATTACTAAACCAAATATAAATTACTTCGTTATTGAACTTAAATTAAATTATAATTAAAAAATATGAATTAAAAAAATTACATAAAAAACGAGAAATTTTAAATAGTTAATTTGATACTAATATCGATATAATTTTGTCAATTTTTTATGATATATTCAAATTTATATTTTATTCAAAAATAAAAACATTATCGTTTTTTTCAAAATCACATAAGACCATATTATAACATCGATTGAGATAAAAAATAAAATAAAATATTAAAATCAAGATGTATTGCACGAGTACCCTTCTAGTTATTAAATAACTTGTCTCTTTTTCCTTGATCCACTGAATTTTATTGATGCATTGAAGTGTCAAAAGAAAAAAAAAGATCAACCACAATTCCTCCATTCAGTTACGGAGGATTTTCTAATTCAGTTGATGGAAATTCTTCCTTTATCTTATACTTTTATCATTTTGAAGGTATTGGGAACGAGATTTAAAATCTTTAAAATATTATTTTTCTCTCTTTTATAGGAGATGTTTAATCATTTTGGATAAGGAAAACGAAACACAATAACTATAAAAATCAACTATATATCAATAGACATTTAGGGGCTGTTTGACAGTTGCTGAATGGTTTGGTGCAAAATAGTTAAGTGGTCAGAATGGTTAAGAGGGTCAGAATGATTAAGTGCTGAATGAAACAAGGTTGTTTGGTAACTGTTTTCTGAATGATAACAAATTACCATTTTAACCCTCTGTATGATTTAGTACCGAATGAAATATAGTTGTTTGACATATATCTGAATAAACCAGTTCCACCACCAACATCCACCACAATCAGATCACGGCGATTGAGATCAGCCGATTCAAAGCATCGTCTCTCATGTCTTCAGTCCAATGGCCAGGGTTTATCACATGATCATAAGCAGTTGATAGAAATCTATAGAACCAGAATGCCTCTTTTTTGTGTTGTATAAATCTAGGTTGTGAAGCTGACCTAGGTGCAGAAACGCTGCATTTGGGAACAATTAGAGTTCTAGATCGAAAACTAGGGTTTCTACGAACCAAATTGATTTTGGGTAAATTCCTAAAGGGAACCCAGACTGCACATCCGCAAATATCATCACTCAAATGATAAATCTTGAATAATAACAATAATAATACGGAAAGGACGCAACAACAAAGGGGCTGTGGAAGGCAACAAGGAGGCGAGATAGAAAACTTACCAGCAACAAGAAGAGGACGCATCAGCAAAGGGGTTGTGGAAGGCAACAAGGAGAGGACGCAACAGTAAGGAGGCGAGATCGAAAAACTTACCAGCAATAAGGAGAGGACGCAGCAGCAAGGGGGTTGTGGAAGGCGGCCGGACGACACAAACAACCATCTGCTACTTCATTCGGGTAGGTATCCATCGCCTTGTTTTTTATTTTATTGAATTTTTAATCAGTTCAAACTCTCTGATTATACCAATTTTCTATTAAAATATGTTATCATCTATGCATATTTGGGGGTTTGCTATTTGGTAGTTGCATTCCAGGGAGGCGAGATTGATGGAAGGAGGAAGGAGGAAGGAACGTGGCTGGAAAAAGGTTGAGAGGGTTGAGAGGGCAAAAATGGAAGAACATACATTTGAACCATTTAGGAGCCCCCTAACCCCTAAATCGTTAAGAGGATTTTGTCATCGTTAAGAGGTTCTTATTTTTTTGCCAAACAGCTTATACCTCTTACCGATTAAGAGGTTTCCTCTTAATGTCACCATTAAGAGGCAACCAAACAGCCCCTTAGACATCTAGATTACATGGTTCTTGTAAGGTCCTTTCGCATTAACAACCCTCTTGTTTGTTAAAACAGAAAGAAATCATCATTCTATAAGATCACACAATAAAACGTTGTACTTAAGGGTGTGATAATAAGGTTACAAGACGTTATTAGATCTAGTAACAAGTTTTTAGAACATTTTTATAAAAAAACATTGTATCAACTATTTTATAGGACAATATTTAGAAAAGTGTATGATAAAAGATCCTTTTAATTTCACTTGGATCACTCTCGAGCACATAATTTTTTTTGAAAATTAATAGTCAAGTAGAAATATAAAAGATAAACATCGTCCATATATCCGGTAACGGTTCAGCAACGACTTATTGTTTTTTCATGTTCTAGCTTTTAAACCTTAAAAGAAACAAAATTTATATCTATATCTATACTATATTATAAAGTATTTGGCTAAAACTCTTAAAACTCTTAAAAACTCTTAAAAACTCTTAAATTCGTTCATCCCTAAAGGATTTCATCTCTATCCGATTTCATCCCATAGCTGAATTTGTGTAACTAACTGCAGATAAACACAATCAAATATATGATAAACATCTCATTTTAAATATAAAAAATCTAAAATATAATTAG